GCCAAGAGCGCAGTGAGGAGAGGTGGACAGTTTCAAATTATTTAGCCACATCCGATCCTTTCTCCGATAATTATGGACATGTTTTACTATACCGGTATATTGAATGGCCACTCATGCTTCTATTGAGAGGTAACACCACTCAGGAAACTGAGGAAAGCCAACCGGTGTTGCACAGGATTTGAGGTTGGGAAGAAAAGATGTTCCGATAAAAGAAGTGCGAGTACATGGGAAACGTATTATGGAAAGGGCAGTCTGAGTCGAACTACATATAGGATCTCCTGTCCAGACTGTACCGAAAGCGTGAATATGAATACCGTAAAGTCGCGGATAAAAGCCGGGTTTGCACACAAGCACATCGCAGATAGAAGCCTGAAAATCAAACGGGTCAAATGATGCATATAAGGCTGTGTTTACATGAGAAATTTCAACCCGGGTCGAGTTCAGCCCGGGTTGAAAGTCTGTACGATAGACAAAAGAGGTGAGCGTTTACATGAAGACAGTTGACCCGGGTCAAATACTGATATGCCGCCAAAAGTCCACTTCTAGAGTCCTGTATGGTCACGTGAATCCGTTCGCGCGAAATTTGCATCTGCAGTGCTGTTCAAACCTGGCGCGAGATACGCACAGAAGTACGTTTGTACGATTTTCTTGACCCGGGTTGATTTCAACCCTCCCCTTGGGGGGAGGGTTGAAATCAACCCGGGGCGAAATTTCAACCCGGGTCAAGCGCAGTGCGTCATGTAAACGCGCCATTCACTTTGTGCACATGGGGGGTTGAAATCTGACCCGGGTCGAACTCAACCCGGGTTGAAACGCTTCATGTAAACACAGCCCAAGCCTGTCGCACGTAGAAGCCTGGCTTCTATGCAAGCGCAGGTCGGGTGGGTCAAGAGTGCATGCGCTATGTACGGTGCATAGTAAAACTGCCGCCATACCGGTAGTCAGTGCTAGTGGTAGATCTACGCGTGCCGCGCGTAGAAGCCTGGCATACAAGTCTGGCAAAAATATCAGTACGAGTAGTGCACATAAGCATGGTTTGCATACAAGCCTGGTTTGCATTAAAGCCTGATGCAGAAAGCGGCTTATGTGCTTATAAGCCCGGCTTTTATCCGCGACTTTACGGTACAGTGGAATGCCGATAATCCGAACAATCACTTATTCGAAATGCCAGTTTCCATTGAATTGAAGGGACGAAAATGAGCTTCTGCTCATTTCCCCAACCCCAAGCACCATTCAAGCGGTGCACAAGATAGTTTGCAACAGGTTGGAGCAACAATGTATCACCGTGGAGTCATATTGAGGAGCTAGAGTGTGTCTAGTTCCTGTGAAGAGAATGTGAGAAATGATGGAAACGTGAAGGAATGTGCAAGTCTTAGATGGATGTGTGACTGCTCCCTGATCCGAATTTTTCCCCATCCGAACCCCCTGGAGAAAGTGTGCGCCCGAGGGGTGCGGATAATCTACATTCTGCTGTAACAGTTATGTACAATGGGTGCCGATGCATATTGGACAACGTTGCAAATGTAGAATTGTAGGTGGACTGTGGTTCACATTAGACGATCGGAGTACCCCCACCAAACGAAGAGAGCTCAACATCACAAGGTAGAGCTTGCATGTACAATCGAAAAAGAGTACATATACCATTAGCTGATACTGTTAGTGTGCGTTATGAAGTCTGAAGAAAATGTTGAACGATCTCGGCTGGGATGACGGCTACACCTTAGCTCAGTGATTAGAGCATCGCTGGCCTCAAGCGAAGGTCCCTGGTTCGAGTCCTGGTGGTGACAGTCAATTTTTCTTCAGACCTTTCTCGTTTGTGCCTTTCCCTCTAACCAGTGAATATTACTGTTAGCTTCGTACTTTGAGTGATTATCACTTACAGTTACATATACTTGATAATTTCTTAGCGCATGAAAATCGGAGTCAGTACCACAATATTCCTCCCTCACTATAATGAGTCTAGATACTTTGAATGTGGAACAGGGTCCAGGACAGGATCGTCTGCTCTATCCAAATTATGGCCTGGTTGCAATTTGTCTATTTACCAGCAGGTACATACCAGGGAGTCATAGCACCTACACTGCAGAGAGACTACACAATACTTTATAGAATTCTGGGTCAGGATTTGGAGGTTCTCCGTGATCTGTGCAACCCGTGATCACGGCCTTGACCTACTGACCCTGAGAACGGCCCAGATCAGCAATGCCATGTACGAGCGTGTATAGATCTGCCCAATGGTGCCCCAGGGGTGGCTGAAACAGGAACCCCTGGGTCGAACCCCATGTCATTTAGCTTTACAGTCGCCTGTGCCGTCTACCTAGATGCTACAACTCCCTGCGTTGCACCCAGTAAATGCAGCACATCAAGTATACAGCCATGTAGTGTTGGTTGTCACCTGTTCTGATCGTGTGATATCACAAACAATCTTCTACGGTCCATTCATTCGAACCTGGCACGTTAGGGGCCGTCCATAATTATCTATCTTTAACACGAAACGAGAAAAAAATCGTTCATGGGCAGGTGGGTCAAGAAGGGTTTCGTAATGAAAAATATTGATAGCTGAAACACTAGTCCATTCCAGCTATTTTTCGTTGAGGGGTGAGTAGGTGGGGGTGGGGGGACGGTCACAAGCTACTCATCACTAAACTTTTCATTTCGTGAAATTTATCGATAATGCCGGGTCCATAATTGTCGATCTTTTACACGAAGAGAAAAAGTTTCGTTTGTGGGTGGGTCAAGGGGAGTTTCATTTCGAAAAAATATTGATATTACAGACATCAAAAAAATCGGGGGGGGGGGTTGGTGGGTGGAGGCGGTTGGTGGGTGGAGGCGGTTGGTGGGTGGAGGCGGGTCCTTCTTTCATTTCGTGAAAATTATCGATAATGCTGGATAGCTCCTTTAGTCTATGCAATGAAATACTTGTAGTTGTCTTCTTCACACGTACACAGTACCGTAAAGTTTAAACAATTTCCGACCAGGTTTGTACCGAACATTTTTTCGAAAGGAAATTTCTCAAATGCTGCCTTGAGTACGTTCTCAGCAACATAGCGGGCCAGTTTCAAATAATTGGACTGCAAACTTGCATCGCTGGCTGTTGCAGCTCCATCACAGGTCGTATCACGGGAAATTGAGTCCAGATCCACTTCAAGGTTGGGTGACACGTGATGGGCATCACTTCCTGCATGCTGGTGCATGTGACGCAAGAGCTCTGGCTGGCCAGCAGTTTTAGACTGCAGGTGCAATACAAGATTTTTCTGCGATGTGCTATGCATTGTGCATTGCATTTCTCGAGAGACACTTCACGCTATGTGAAAAAAAGAATTTCGCTCAATGTGGTATTGTGCATCGTGCAGTGCAACTTTCCCACAAAACTGGACTCAAAGCACCTTATAGCTGTGGTTTACAGCAACGATTTTCCTATTTGCGACTCTTGGTTTAATGGGTGCAGTAGCATGCATGTGCCTGGTGATATTGTTGCAATGGATCATAGTGAGGGCGTAGCAGTACTTGTGCACTGATAGTTGGTGATGGCATGAGTACATAACCAAGAGTGGGCAACTCGATGATCCCTCTGCCCACGGCAGAAAGTTTCATCACTTCAGTTTTTGTGGGCCATTAATACCATCATGCCAGGGAATTTTCTAGAACCGCCCCAACCGGTTTTCGACCGGTTGAAATTGTTGGCGACCGGTTGAAAAGTTACAAATCAGTTCCAACCGCCCGTACTTTTCTGTGGGTGAATGGAGCTGCTTATATCTTTGCTACACTCCAGCACCAAGAAATCTGTTAAATTGCTGTCGAGTGCCATATTTGGGTTGTAGTTTGAAAAATGAATAGCTGCAAATTCTCTGAAAATTGTGTCCCGATCTGACCGGCCGTTCAAGAGTTATGGCCGAAAATGTGCCCTTGCAAGGAAAGATTTTTTTGTTGCACGCTGTCATTTGTTGGCAGCACTGTATTTGAATGTGAGCAGACCGTGCGCAACTTGTCGTATCATGGAAACACGTGAAAGTGTGCAGAATTTTGCTCCAAGTCCAAAAAATCAGGTTTTTGAGCCACGTATTGGGCTGCACGGCGGCGGGCAAAGCCCGCCGCCGTGCAGCAGGACTTTTGCCAGCACCCTCGTGACGTTGCAGATATGTGGCTTGATTATTGTAGTTGACGTTGATTTAGTGACTTTGGCAAGTTTGAGTCGTGTCAAGAAGTCAGGTAGGATTCAGTACTAGGCAGTAGTGAAACGTGAGTGGTAGTCTTTGCCGGTTTCTGAGGGTATCCTGGATTTGGTGTGCAGCGCTGTGGAAATGGCTTGCTGTGGAGGTCCCAGCACTGGATGTTGTATCAAAGGTACGACCTCGTAGCACGTGCTAAACCTAAAAAAATTCAAAAATTGACTTGGGTCTGTGGGAGTGTGTGAGAGAACGCCCACTCGTTCCGTTGTGACAGATTCCAGGGCCTCGTTGAGGGGCCCTACCCCATCACCCATGGCTGCTTCTGGACTTGTTCTAGGTTTGAGTCCCGCGCACGAACAGAATGAGCACGAAAATGTGAAAAAATTGTAAATGCATATTTGTTTGGCTCCTGGGTGGCTCGCACACCGTGGCACTATGCCGGAAATTTGAGTTTTTCCGGCCTGGAAAGCCTGTCAGTGAGGCGCAAGAACTTGTAAATCATGTCCTGAGGGCCAGCATAGTGGCAGGAGTGTGTGGTCAAAATTTCACTCAAATCCATTGAGAAACACCAAAGTTACGGTCAATTGAATTTCCTGCGCATGCTCAACTGATGAGGGGTGAATCCCCCGAAACACTGTATATTGAGCAGGGAGTGGTGCCTTCTTGCAGGTTTGCCGAGTGGACGGTTCGACGGACTTCAGTTCTCGTGTGCTCTGGATGGCAGTCGTGAGTCAGTCAAGTGAGAATTCAAGTCGGCAGGATACTAGTAACCGCGAGCTCCCATGTAGGGAGCAACACACTCTTCCCCTACTATCACCACATTGTTACAAGTAAATATACTAAAACAATATGTCCACGCTAATCGGCAGACAGTACTGTTTCGTTCTTCATGGACAGGTCACTGTGCAGACTAGAGAACTGCAAAGACTGTAGCAATAACTTCCGGGATAGAGAGATGCATTGGAAACTGAGGTTCTGAGGTGAACACTAATGGCCTTGTCCAGGTTACTATGGTTGTGTGTTTGTTGTGAGTTAGCTCTTATGTGGACATACCATGCTGTTGCTGCTGCTCGAACAATGCACTATGGATGCTGCTGCTCAAACAAAGAACTATGGATGCTGCTGCTCAAACAATGCACCATGGATGCTGCTGCTCAAACAAGGCACTATGGATGCTGCTGCTCAAACAACGGATTAGTAGCAGTAGGTAGCGATGTCAATGAGCTGGAGCGTATTATTGGTAGTGCAGTATACTCAGTGATGTCATTGTGATTGACTCAGTGACGTCATTGTGACTGACTCAGTGACGTCATTGTGACTGACTCAGTGACGTCATTGTGACTGAGCACAGTGACGCAGTGCACACGCAACTGTCCAGCACAAGACCAGAAGCCTCAGGCAGCACGCGAGACACCAAAAATCAGCGACTCCAGTTGTGTCATCCGGAACGTGAGACTCCACAGCAGTGAAAGCCGCTTGTCTGTGCGTCGGCCTCGAGCCCAAACAGTTCGATGTCCGCATCACACCCTAATAAAAATGACCACGTTCCAATGCAGTACATGATGGAGAAAAATATCCCAGATCTCAGATCACATCATATACATGTAAGTGACATCATCACCACGAGACACAATCGTAATCGCTGCTATCATGCGCCGCTAATGTACGCGGCAGCACTGCTAGTTTTAACAGTAGCAGCGGCTAAGAGAGGCACATGCTGTGTGGCTACAACGACCGCAGCAATCTTCCAGCACCCAGGCGCATTCAGACCAGACTGCATGACTACCAGTGCAGTGCAGGCTACTGCACGTGTGTTGTGTTAAGCGTTCGATTCTGTGTACCGGTGGTGTTGGCCAGGGTGCATGCAGATGCTCCAGACAGTTGACTTGCCCAGCTGGGTATGGTGTTGAAGTCAAATACGGCTGTGTAGAGGGTACTGGTCAGGAACATGACGCACAGGACGCCGATGATGTTCAGGACAAAGCCAATCCGCGCCTAGCGTCACACCAAGCAAACCACATGGGAAATATGTTCAAATTCAAATCACCATTCAAACCACCATTGCATCGCATACACTGTTTTGTTTTTGATATTTACGACCATATTTCTGTGACTCCGATATGTGCCGCATGTGCAGAAGACAAACCTGATGTCAGAGACAACCTGCATCCAAAGAGGCAAAGACCGCTACAACGACCAGTCCCGCGTGTGGTCACCGAAACCATGCTTCACTTGTCCGGTTACTCTACAAGTATGCACAGTAGGGCATCCAGTTGTGCCGCTGAGTCAAGGCCGTCACAGCCCGCCCCACTTTTTCGGCCGTTGTTTTTTTTTTTTTTTTTTTTGGAGCACATTACAACAAAGCACAATGATCGCAGCTTAGCGCAAACGTGACAAATCCTTGTCCCCGATCGTGGTTTGTTGCAGGAAAAAGTCTTTCATTGTAGTTGTATACACTGAAATGGCACCAAATGCCTGGAAATGCTTGCAATTGGCTTCATTTTTTGAATTTTTTCCCGGGGGAGGGTAATGTTTGTCCCCGATTGTAGCGTCTTCTTCGTTTGTTGCAGAATCAAAAAGACTTTCATTGTAGTTACCGTGCACTGAAATGGCACCAAATACCCGGAAATGCTTGCCATTGGCTTCAATTTTTTGAAATTTTTTCCCGGGGGAGGACCCCCGCACCCCCCTTCCATGGCCGCCACACCTCCAAAGTCGGTGCGACGGGCCTGTGAGTGCAGCACTGCTCGCCTCTATCAGCAATGGTGCATGCATGCCGTTCTTCCTTGATGACATTGAGCACTGTTTGCACATGCTCAGTGCTCCTACAGAGATAGCACTGAGCACAGAATCAGGGTATCCGGACCAGGGTAGGTTTAGTAGTATTATTATTATTAAATTTTTGATAGGGAAATCCCCACAGGCCTAAGTAAACTTACCATGTCAATGACTTTCAGGTGACCGTACGAGAAGGCGATGGCGTTGGCAGGGGTGGCTGCGGGCAGCATAAATGCCAGAGAGCATGCCACCGTGCCGGGCACCATCAGCTGCAGGGGGTTGACATTGAGCGTGCTCACGGCCTGCACACAAATGCGTACATGCAAGCGCGCACACACGCGCACGCGTGCGAGCACACGCACACACACACGCGCGCGCGCGCGCGAGCACACACATACACGTGAGCACACATACACACGCATGCACACACACACACACACGCACGCACATGCACACACACACGCACACATACACATGCGCACACAAAACACACTCACACGTACCAACACACATTACTTACCAAGAAACTCCAGTACACAACCTTGACACAATCTTTATTAGGAAACTTGAAATGGAGGTGTGACCTACTACTGCATGTACTTCACTGTGGTACGAAAACTCGGAACTCATTGCCCATCGATATCTGAAAATGATGATGAAGCTAGGTTGAACAGCCCCGGCAAGTCAGCGCAGATGGCTGACATCGTCAAGACGGAACAAGAGCTAAGTGAAATCACTCGAGGTGGAGCTGGAGAAAGCACCAACCAGCTAGGTCCTGGTCTCCACACACCTAATAATTATGTCCCTGTTTGTTCTGCTGTTGGTAATACTCGTAATGTTAGTAGTTCCACGACTCGACTGAATGAGTTTGTTCATGAAAAAAACAGGCACGTAGCCCACATGGTGCACAAGGGGATACGTGCCCCTCCCCCCCCCCCCCTTAAAAATGCCGTCCTACATTCAGCATGCACGTAATGACCATGAATGATACACCCCAGTTATCCTACACATATGCAGACATGACCCCCCCCCCTCCCCCCCCCCCCTAAAAGGGGGAGCAGCTACACTGCTGCTGAACATCATTTCAAAATCCGAATACAATGTTGGTTTCGCTCATGCACTGTCACATCTTGTGCAGGGAGGAAATCTGGTGCTTAGGTCTGTTATACTACGTGCGTGTGTGTGTGTGAGCGCGCGCATGCATGCGTGCATGCATATGTGTGTGCGGATGTGTGTGTGTGTGTGCATGCACGCGTGCATGTGAAAAATATGAAAAATGAAAATAGGGATTCGCTGACCAGAAAAAGTCACTTCAATAAGCTGTGTGGTGGATACCAGGCTAAAATTAGTGGCGGTCAATTCATCAGCCTTGCAAGCTGTTGAATGGTGTAATCCCAGCACAAGTTGCTATGTCTAACATAGCTGTTCGCTATCATCGCTTCCGCGATGGGCAGGTCTGAGGTCTGAGGTGCATGCGTGTGTGCATGTGTGTGTACGGGAAATCACTCACCAGCTGGGCAAAGATGGGCAAGAAGATAGTGGCCGTGGCCGTGTTTGAGGCAATTTCGGTGAAGAAGGTGATGAAGATGACCAGGATGAACACGACCAGCTTGACATCCAGGTCGCCCAGGGAGCTCAGGTTCTCCCCAAACCAGCAGGACAGTCCCGATTCCTGACGTGATGGGCAAGCAGAACAAGACAAGTTGTCATATCACACCCATATACACAGACACTGAATCACATTTGGTCGATGGCACACACAAATTGAGATACGTGGACGGTTTGGACACTACAGCCTTCACACACCAATTCCCACAGAAATGAAAGAGCAAGAACTGTAATCGATGAAACGGTCATCATTTCATACACACGCGCGCGCGCGCGTGCTTGTGCGCGTGCACACACACGCACGTACTCACACACTCACTCACTCACACACACACACGTGCACACACACACACACACACACACACCATTGGACTGCACGCGGCCACCTTACCACAGCACCTTTCGCCAGGCACAGACCTGCCCCGACCAGAAGCACGACTGCCCAGGGCATTTTCTTGTGAACAACGTCCCACTCAAGAATACGCCGATGGTCTGCACTCTGAGAATCAAATTTAGCTGTGCCCAGTGAGAAGAACACATAAGGAGAGAACAAGAAACAAATGCAGCATGGACAGTGTGACAGGGATTCAATATTGAACGGTGGACAGCATAATTTAATTATACAACTGCCATCGCACTTCTTACAAAATACATTGCACGGTTGGTGTTAGACTCATTCAGACTGGAGTGTCCGCGTGCATGGAAACGACGCCACCTTCAAGGATCTACATGATAATATCCCTCTCATCCGGACCTCGATGTAACGAGCAGGGCCTGCTGGAGAGCCGGGTCAGCCGGGTCACGCGCCCGGCTGGGGAACTGCACGACCTGGCTGAACAGATAACACCGGGTCCAGTCTGACCCGGCTGAAAAATGTCTCAAACTGACAATGGATTCCTAAAATACGGGTGTTTTACGACTCGCGGACCCCATCTGTTGCAAATCTAGCGCAACCGTACACCATGGTAGATCTACACACTACAGTCTACAGTCTACAAGCAACAGAAACTCGGCTAGGGTCAACTGGTTCGAGCGCGATCTGGCCAGCGGCGAGCAGGAAGTCAGGACATTCAAAGTCGATGAGGCAGGCAGTCAAAAGCGTAACTTTGGCTATAGCTTTTGACACAGTGGCAAGTTTTCAGCCGATTGGTGATTTGGACGATGGAGCCCGCAGCGAAGAGAAAAAGAACTCACGCTTTCCAAGACTCTTGGAAGAAAGGTCGACCCTGGCTGGACTACGACCATGCCAGTCTACTAGTATCCATGTCGTGCGCTTTGTGCAAGACGCATTTCCAAAGGAAGACGAGCGGCGGTGGATTTGGTCGCGAGGAAGCAGCCACTCCACAAGGTGCTGCAGGCACCCCCCAGTGCTCTAATATGTGAACATGTTGGTCCTCCTAGGCTGCTACTACTTAGTACTAGTACTAGTACTAATTAGTAATTGGAAAACAGAATTCCTTTTTTTCAAATTGTTAAATCAGAATCCTATGGAACTGCTTTGCATTCTTCACGTAATGTCGTTTACCTTCTACGTTTGCGGACTTTGATCGTTCGCCTTGTTCTCTAAAATGTCCGATTTCTGGCACTAAATTCGCCTTTCTGTTTTCCTGCGTTTTAAGCAGGCCTTGTGGTTGTTTTTCTGCCGGATAATCTGACCCGGCTGGCCTGCATGCGCCAGGTACACTCTGACCGGGCTGTGTTGAATGTCTAGAGCAGGCCCTGACGAGCACCTCGAATGTCTGCCGGGCACCCTGTGGGTGAGTTTTAGTGGAAATATTACTAGTCTTCTGCCAATTTTTTGTGGAACTGAACAGTGACGTCACGTGTCAGATGTCTGGCCCTTCCGCATTGACGCGTATGTGATCCAGAGTTGCGGATATTCTGAAATGATACCGAAACAGTTCGGTCACATCTTGCCCAATCCACTTACTAGTACCAGATTATACTGTAGAGGGCAGCATGCGATGTCTTCACCCGTGTACATGTAAAGATTTACACGCGAATACTGCAAACGCGGCTTAGTCCAAACATACTATGCATGTACACGTCCACACCGCGTAATACATACAGTAGAGTCTCGTACTAAAGCCTGTCTCATACAGAAGCATGCGTATCTCCGCTTACAATTCTTTATTCGTCGCTATGGTTGTGACATCAGTGCACATAATATTATAGTTCTATTCATTGCATCATATAGAAGCCAGTTTTGATCACAAGCCGGTGATATTCAAGATGCACTGATGGCCGCTCATACACCTGATTTGATTGTTGACACACGCAGACATGCTTGATTCGAATAGAAGCCTGACTTGAATAGAAGCCTAGCACTGATATCGGCTTCTGCAGGAAAAAGCCCAGCTGTTATACGCGCCATTACGATATAGTCACCTACACTTTGGGAATGGCCAGCTGGATGGAATGAAGAAGAGAGGCAAGGTCACAAGAATGGCACTCGTACCGTCCGATACATAGCTGTGCACACAACAGCAGCACAGGAGAAAGAAAGGAGCAAGACAAAAATGATGATGCACTAGCGAAGTGTCAGAGTGTCTTATGTTCATTGCTAATACTGCCTGGGGCCGATAGGAAAGTGTGAGATTGTGTCTCTGTATTCCTTAGTGCCACACACACACACACACACACACACACACACACACACACACACACACACACACACACACGCACACGCACACGCAAACACACGCACATGGGCGTGCACGACCTACCTCTTGTTCTCGCCGTACTTTGGGAAGAACTCCTCCCAGCCGGGCATGAATCCAGGCCGGCGGAAAAATAGAAGAACTGCAAAAGCCGCAAACACGACGAGGATGACCTTCTCAGCAAATCTGAAAGTTAAACAAAGAAAGACACATTATGGCCAAAGAGTAAGCAAAGACAAGTGCATGTTTATTGCCAATGTCAAAGAAACAAAAGTAGACTATGAGACAGCTAGACCTGGATCACCCATGATAGTGAATTCAACTTTTACAACATTGGTTTGAGGGAAGGACGCAAACGGGAAAAGTCTGAAGAAAAAAATGATTGTCACCACCAGGACTAGAACCAGGGACCCTCGCTTATGGCCAGCGATGCTCTCTACCAAAAAAATTTCCGGTTCACGTCAGACTCGGCTGGAGTACCACTAAGCCATGGTGTAATTGTCATCCAATCAGCGACCGTTCAATATTCTCTTCAGACTTCAAAACTCACGCTTCCTGTGAATCCACACAGGCGGGTTGGCCGCATAATAACTTTAAAGGCTGCATGGCCAGCGCCTTGGGCCGCTTGA